TACCAAACTGTCCTCGTTAATTTATCCTAAGAGCTTAATTAATACTTAATGTATTACATGTATTTTGTCATTATTCATTGTAATAAGTCTTTTGACCAGATTTGTAGTTAATATATATGAAAAATACTGTTATTCTAAAGGGACCTAGTCCCAGAATAAAGGTGATTTTTCTATTTCTATTTCTATGTATATATGTATGTATGTATATATATATATATATATATATATATATATATATATATATATATATATATATATATATATATATATATAGAGAGAGAGAGAGAGAGAGAGAGAGATGAATACAGAGTTAGAGCAGTATTATACAAATATTATAAAAACTTATTTTTTCTGCACTTCCTCGGAATTGACATATGAAGTTATAATTGATCTAACTTTTGCACTGTTGAAGATAAACCAGCAAATTTATATATATTTTTGAACAAAATTTAATTGTTAAAAACTTACTTTCCCATTACTTAATCGTAGAACAAAGTAGCCAAGAGTTAGGCGGTGGTTACATTGGATCCTGTTCAGTTCAAATACTGTTCAGTACAAAAACAAAACCTTTTATTCATCTTTTAATGTTTATCATCCATTTAATTGCATTATATTCATCCAATTTACATAAAACATAATAGTTAATTCATTCAAGATCGTTTAATAATTAATTAGTATTAATTATAGTATTATTAATTCAAAATACAGTAGAAAATTACAAGAATAGCTATTTTTATTTTATTGTTAACAGAAAATAATTATTATTGTCATTTAAATATCTAATACCTTCATTATAGGGGGAAATAAGTTGTGACTTTTAATGGTCAATAGTATGCAAAATATGAAAATTAAAAATATCATAAAACATTGTTAATTTTATTTATTATATATTTTAAATTTATGAAATATATTTTTTTATCTAGCTAATCATTACCTTTATTCTATAATATAATTAAATATTATTTGGATTCTGCTTATTACATTAAGCTATATTTAATTCATATTTAACAAATTAAAAATCTTATTTTAACAAAAATTATCTTATTTTAAATGCAATATATATTGTACATTTTAATCTGTAATAATTAAATGTTGTTTAATTATTAAGTGTAAGAATCTTCACTTTAATGCAGATATATATTTACTATGAGTGCCCAGCTTCCATTGTAATGCTACAGAAAAAAGAAAGTGGTTGTTTATTAACTCTGTTTATGCTAGAATTTATGGAATGAAAATGAATGAATGAAGTGAAAAATTAATTTTATTCTGGGACTAAAGTCCCCTTAATATAATAGCAGAGTTCAAAAAATATATACATCAGTCTGGCATGTAGATATAATACAGATATATACAAAAAATACAGAGAGATAAATAAATATAAAAATAAAATGACTTATCATTTAACTGTTGGTGAGAAATTGAATTTACATAACCTAGCAGTTCTTATAAACTGACGGAAGTTTGAATGTTTAGGAGGTTGTGGAATAAGAGTTGTTGAAGGAATTGGTGAACGTGGTTTGACGTATGGAAATAGGTAAGGAGTTCCAAAAGGAGGTAGCACGAATGATGAAGGGTTTGCTGAAAGTAGTTTTATGGGAGAGGATATATTGATCTACAGATTGACACCTGGTATTAAGACAGTGGATAGAGGAGCGTAGAATAGAATCACGGAACCTTATGAATTGGTTAAGGATAGTTATTGATTTTCGGGTAATCTGGGAAATTTGGTTATTCCAAGAGAGGCTCTGATCAAAGAGAGGTTTTTGGCTGTCGGAGAGAAATTATTAAGGTATGGATGAGGAAGTTATTAAGGTAAAGTAGAGGAGAGAAAGGAAGGGAACTGATGATGTGCCTGGAACCAATAACGATATCCTTAGTTTTATCTGCGTTCATTTTCAGTTGTTTTTTTTCTGTCCAGCTTAGCCTCTGGCATCTCAGAAAGTTAGAACGACAGGTGAATTTGGAAATCATCTGCATAAAAGTGATAACGGTAGTAATGAACGGAGTCAGGAAGGTCACTAATATAAATGGAAAAAATGGTTGGAGAGAGTGAGGAGCTCTGAGGAACACCTCGAGATAAGCGAAGGGATGAGGAAAGAGATTTATTAGGAATAACAATTGTCTGGGAGTAATCGAAAATAGAGGAACCATTTTAGAATGCAATTTGATATGGCTTTGTAAAGGAAGATCTTATGATTGACAGAATCAAAGGCTTTGGAAAAGTCAAAAAGGATTAGGATGGACATTTTCTATTTATCTATGGGGGATTGCAGGTCTTTGTAAATCTTTAACAAGGCAGATTGGGAACGAAAACCAGATTGTAAAGGATTGCGGAGATAGTTTTACTCAAAAAAGTTATTCAATTGAGAGTAAACTAATCTTTTTAGAGGCTTAGATAATTTGGATAAAATAAAAAGGTGTTGAAACTTCAAAAAGTTCAACGGCCGGACAATGACTTTTTTCCAGACTTTAGGAAAAATGGAATTTTGGAGGGAAAATTTGTTGGAGTATAGGAAAGTTAGGGAGTGAAGATCTCTCCAAGAAATTTGTTTGGGAATAAGTGAAGGAGTAATAGCATTATATGAGATTGCGATAAGAATGAGATGAAAGAAAGGAAACAGGATTTTGAGAGGAGTATAAGAGGTTTTGAGGGAAATCATTGATAAATCAGTCTAACCAGGTGTCAGTGGACTGGGAATGATTAGTGGGTTAAAGGAGTACAATAAATAGGTCTAGGGAGAAAAACAGGTCAATAAGGTGTGTTATGTCCGGAGAGTCTGATAGGAGGTTGGTGTTAAAATCATCTGCAATTATGACATTTTTAAAGAGAGGAATGTATGTAAGGATTGAGGATTCAAAATTTCATTCCGCCCAATCATGACAAAAGAGGGTATAGTCGGTAAGGAAAAGGGATGCTGAGGGGATATCAGGTTTGAGCCAAATTTCGGATACGACAATGATATGAAAGAAATTTTGGTGAAAATAATTAAGAATTAACATGGTAGGATATCAAGGTATTAGTCATGAAGGAATTAAATAAAGGACAAAATAGTGGGTTGGAGCAGAACTGAGTTAAGATTAGATGAGGGATACGTTTTGAAATAGTATATTGTAAAATAAAGTAAATAGAAAAATAAAAGTGAATTTTAACTAAACATTTTATGCTGGAATGAGTAAAAAAAAAAAATAAGGGTTTAATTTAAAATAAAACAAAAAGATAAAAAAATTGTGAGAATTGAAAGAAGAAATTGTGTTTGGAAGAACGAGTCAACTGCAGAATTTAGACAGCTACACATCGCCGAATTGCATGATTTATACCTGATGAATATAATGAGATAGTAGATTTGTGGCTATCCACACCATCAATCCATAAAAGATTAATGTGTGCTGCGCCGACTGGTAAACATTTCGAAGCTAGATAACGAAAATACAATTTTTTGTATTTCACATTTTAAGAAGTAAAACATAATATATTGTTTGTAACTGTATTTTATTTTTAAAATACAAAGTACAAAAACGTATTTGTATTTTATTTTAACGATACCAAAATATAATGCAGATGGTGGATGGGAGTATGTAGGCAGCGATTGAACATCAAATTTTCGTTTACTCTAAACTTTTATATCATTATTATAACTATTCATCTCTCATTCTCTATTTCAACATATGGTAATATGCTTTTGGCAGATTGGGATGTTAGAGGGGAGGGAGAAGGCCCTTGGTGAAATTTCGCTTGGTGAAAACCCACTCAATGACCCTGATTGCTAAAGGCTAAAACATTCATGTAAATTAAAATTACATAATAATAAAGGAGAATTGTGGGATAGAGGATCGAGAAAGCTTTTTTATCTATTAACATAACTTATTGGTTTCCCCTCCATTCTATTCATGGAAGTACATATAATATTATTGGACCTCCCTATCTATTTAACAACTTCTTAAAGTTAGTAATTAGGTTATTATTTTTGTTAACTGAAATGATCTATGGAAACAGAATAAATAAAAATACTGCTGTCAAAACTAGAAGCACAGCCTTTAATGTTTTTTTTTTACATCCAAATGTAGCTTATTTACCTAGTAATATCAGAAAAATGAGTAACTAGGGAAAGAAAAATGTGGTAATTTGCTAATTTTAGCTATTATTCTAATTATTATATGAATATCAAATTATTAGGTTGTGATAGGAATACAGAAGCATTGCATTGCAGAAAATTCCTACAATCTTCTCAAAAGCTCAGTGATAAGAGATAACCTATAGTTGTGAAATGACTCATTTTTTTCTGATGATATCTTTACCCTCCTTACACTTGTTATTATTATATTTCAAGCATTTTCTTAATTTCTAATAACATTACAGATCTTAATTACTTGTAAAAAGAAATATTTAAGAGAAGAGTGCAAAACAAGACTAACAACTTTTTTGTTTCATTTTTTTTTTCAATTTTCTTTTTAAAAGTTTCTAAGAACTAAGCTCTCTCTTTTATTTTTATAGGATTTGTGATTTTTTCCCCTCTTGTGTGAAATATTAGTCTATATAATTGCATAATAAAGATATTATTCTAATTTTTTTTTGTATGTTAAAATGATGATAATAATCCTAAATGCCGATTGTATTTTAAACTTGACTGATTAGACGATGGCGCCCAAGGCTGCATCACAATTTTGATTTATTACTATATGGTATGATTTTTATAAAATCACATTCGTTTATTATATATAACATAGATTTTGGAATAAATAATGACATATTTTATTGTTCTTTTTTTTGTTTAAGTACTTTGCATGGTACAATTTTTTTTTTTTTTAGCTTCTTAAATCCCTTTCCCTTTAAAAACTGTTTATGATCTCCCTCTGAGCCATTTGAGTATTCTAAGCCTTGCCACATCATACCCTATTTATTTTATTTTTATTTGGCTGTGGATGAGGATTACTCAAAAAGCTTTTTGAGGGAGATCGAACATTGTACTAACGCCTGATAGGAGTTCTTTGGTTACGTCCAGGAAATGATCGATTGGATGTCATATCTGTCAGTCGTGTCTACGCTAATGTTTGTTGTGTTCTTCGCCCTTGGGCCGGGCTCCATACCCTGGCTGATAACAGCTGAGCTGTTCTCTCAGGGACCACGACCTACAGCCATGTCAATTGCTGTTCTCGTCAACTGGCTCGCCAACTTTCTTGTCGGCATTGGTTTTCCAACAATGCAGGTTAGTTATATTTAATTTTTAATAAATTTATTTATAAATATTAATAAATTTAAGATTTTAAGGAGTTTTCCCGTGTCTGGGGATGGGGTTGGAAACTAATACCAGAGTTAAAAGCCTCCTGACACCGGGATGTGAACTCGTAATTATTTTATCTTCCATCTGGTTGATGAGCAACATGGTGCTGTGAACACATGTTAGTCCACTCGGCTACCCTGCCCCCTAAGTAAATATAGAACCCAATAATAAATAGTAGATTGGCAGTAGTGGGCACATGCAAAACCCAACATATCTCTGAAATTCTGTTTGGCACCAATGCCGAGTAGGGGGTTAAAAAAAAAAGAGCAATATCAATATGGTTGTCATGGAGAAAAATGTCGATTTAGTCTTGGTGGTTGTGCAGGCTTTAGCATTACACTTATGGTGGGTGATTAAAAGGGATTTTGTTAAGTAATGTAGCGAGAAGGGTGATCAATGGCTTGATAGTCTCTTGGAGGTCTTTTAGCAAGGCCGCTAGGGTGGAGTTTATTAAGTCCATCGGGCTTTGTTTGTGAGAATTTAGATCAGGAAGTTCTGAGGGAAAGTTCCAGTAACAATTATTGTTGGATATGATGGATCTGCCCACCGTTGTGTATGAGGAGCTGAGTCTAGATTTGATAGTACTTGGGAAGGGGAGTTTATGTGAGCAGGAGGATAAAATGGAACTGGATTATGTTCAGATTAACATGGTTTAGTTGATAGTTTAACATATAGTTAAACATGGAAAGATATAGTTAATAACATAGTTAATAAACATAGACATATAGTTAATAAATAGTTTAACATGGGAAGATAGTTGATAAGGAGAAATGTGATGGACATGATGATTTTGAATGAATATAGGAAACCTGTGGTTTAGGTTTGGAAGCCTGATGCATCTGATATCACTGCTGATGAGTCTTCACTCTGTGGTGTCAGAATATGATTCTCTTTACTCCTGATGAGGATGATCTATTGCTGTTTATGTAGAAGGCTGATATTGGGTTCATGGTGGTGCTGTATTCTGGAAATATTGCCAAGTATTGAAGTTCGAGTGGCTGTGCCTGGCTGTGTTTCTTCTGTTCTATGAATTTTGAAGTCATGTTATATGTTCATTGTGGAGATTTGTTTAGACTATGTAGCCCCTGTAGCTCATAGGGTGGTCTTTGCCACAAATATCACACATAGTTGACTCATTCCACAATTTCTGGCTATTGTCAGAGACATGAGGTCCGATACATTTGACAAACCTCGCTGGGTGATGACAGTAGGCCTTTGTAGGGCCTAGCAACTTTTTTACATTTAATGCATTCTATGATTCTGATTCTTCCTGGGCTCTTCAAACCTTACTGTTGAATAAACTAGTCTTATTACCTTGAAGATTTCTGAATTATTTCAAAGCTGGCTATCAATCAATTAAAAATAAAAGTAAGGGATATTTTTCATTTGGTTATAACATGAGTGATATGTTTTTTATATTAGAGCCGATTCCTCGAGATCTCTTTGATAATATAATGTAGAATAGAATTTTATAAAAATATTCTTGTTAACAATAGATTGTTTCTATTTCATTTCTTGTTATTTGTATAGCAAAAAGTATATTCAGAATATACCCTTTTCAATAATAATGTAGAATAAAAATATGTAGTTACCAATAGATTGCTTCTATTTCATTCCTTGCAATTTGTATTGCAAAAAGTGTATTGTATTGTTCAGAAATTGCATTATTTTTTAACTAGTTAAAAACTACTTACTTCCAAGGCCATGTAACAAATTAGTCTAGATTCATAGATTATTGACTTGTCAGAGGAGGATAAGGAACACACCATCTATAAACCGAACCTCCTGGGGCTGCTGGTTTATTTCATAACCAGGGCATCTCACTACTGTCCAGTGCTTACAAGGTGCTGTCCAAACTTTTGCTCCTTAGGCAACTGTTCCATGCAGAGGGAAAGATAGGCCAATACCAGGCTGGTTTTATGAGAGAAAAGGAGACAACTGACCAAATGTTTTCCCTTACGCTGATGCTGGAACGAAGGTGAGAATACAAGATGCAAAACCATCGCTTATTTATAGATTTCCTGGCTGCATACAACAGTGTGAAAAGCTCTTGGACTCGTTCCAGACATACAGAGGTCTGTGACAGTCTTGCATGTCTCCTCTTTAATTTCGCTCTAGATGTTGCAGAAATGGAGTCAGGCATCCAAGTGGGTAGAATCATTCTCAATAGTTCAGTCCAAATACTGGGTTACGCTGGCAACATTGATATCATCGGAAGAAATTTTAAAGCCATGGCTAAGGCGTTCGAGAATTTATGAACTGCAGCTGCAAAAATGGAGCTTAAAGTAAACCAAGCAAAAACAAAAGTATATACATGTATGTATAATACAAGTGAATGGATGTAAATTTGAGAGAGTAGAGGAATTTATATACCTTAGCTTCTTAATAACCCATATTAAGGACATGGGGAAAGAAATTCAAAGAAGAATCATTACACCTAATAAATTTTATTTTGGGCTTATGCGACTAATGAAAAGTAGAATATTATCTTGCATAACCAAATTGCGTTTGTAGAAAACTGATTAGACCCGTGCTTATATATAGATTAGAGAGCTGGACTCTATCCAAGGCCCAGGAAAGCCAACTCCTCCAATGAAAGAAACTAAGAAGAATTTTCGGAGCTCTTCAAGGATTGTGATGTAGTATGCTTCATCAGGGTTGGTCGGCTCAGGTGGGCTGGTCATGTGGCTTTAGGAACATAAAAAAATAAATATATAAATGGGTTTTAATTTAAAAAATCAACTGACCGATTAATTAATTGCACACCATCCGCTGTAATCAGCACAACCAACAAAACTATTTATTCGTATTGCTTCTTGTCTTCTTTTTTTGTTTGGAAGCTGTTTAAATTGCTATGTTGTTGGTAATAAAAACTTCCAATTTATAGCATATAGTGTATTTATTATAATTCATACCAAGTTTACGTTTCGGGATACAATTCCTATACAATATTTATTTTTAAATGCATTATAAATTTAAATTTGAAGCTAGAAGAAAATAAAAAGTATTATTAAAATCCTTTATGCATTTATAAATTCTATAACTTCCCCATTGCTTTATTCAGATAAGTTGTGAAATAATGTCAAACATTATTTTCTATAAAAATAAGAATGTTTCTTGTCAAACAAAGAAATAGAAATGGTTTTAATTTTATTTTGAATATTATCATAAAACAAAAATCGGTATAAACAAGTCGAAAATAAAGAAGTTATAAAAAAAAGAAAGAAAATGAAATGAAATTTCTGTATTTTAGATAGGAAGGAGTGAGAGCAGTCCATAGTGGAACTGACTTGGAACTTATTTCCTAACGACTATAATTCCAGCTCCAGGTGGAGCTAAGAAGCCAAGAACAAGTTTGAACAGTTCAGAACAGAGCTATTAAGTTTCTATGAAGCTATCTGTGAAGCTGATATGAAACTCATACACTAAGGGCTCTAATTTCAGCTCACAGCTCCGTCCGTAGCTACAATACTGTGCAGGTTATAGCAGTTCCAAATGGTTCTGCATGAGTATTAGGTTCTGTGGAACAGCTCCCAACAGTTCCCAACCATCCCTATTTACAGGGCATATTGGTTTTGGGGTTAGCTCCATAGCACAGGCTATGGGGAGGGAGAAAGGCTTTCGGGCTGAAGCCCTCCCAAAATGGTAAAATGGAACCATGTTTTATGAAAAAAATTATCTCTAAAAGTATTATTGTTATTCTAATTACATTTAATAGGACTTGAAGAATCATTTACACACACACACATTAACACATTAATTATCCTAATATATACATCCAAAAAAAAAATCTTTCGGGCCGAAGCCTCCCCCAAAATTAAATCCTGAATCCGTTAGTGCTCCATAGTCTCAGGATAGATTCCAAAGACTTTTCAGGATGTGGTCTTGACCTGCTTTGCATTTAAGGCGTTAAGAACCTCATTTTTGAGAATCACAGAAAATTCATCCTCACTATGGAGAAGTTTTCTTCATTGGTGAATAATGGAATTTTCCCATGCTTCATAAAAATCAACTTTAGAACCCTTAATAGATGGACACCACTGGTATTAGGAAGACCAAGAGAAGATTGAGATTGTGATTGAAAGAATCTTCTTTGTTTTTCCCTCCTTAGTACCTCCCAGTGTGGAAGGGCCTCATTCCATTTACACGAGTCTTTTTATGATTTTACCATTTATACCAGTCTCCCATCTTGGCTACTTTGTCCATCCATGTCTTCCGAGGTCGTCCTCTCGGTCTCTTTTCTGTAGACCTATGCTCAAGAAAGTTCTTAGGTTCTCTTTCTTTGTTCATCCTTGTAATTTGACTGTTCATCCTTGTAATTTGACTGTTCATCCTTGTAACCATTTCAGCATCTTCTTTTCTACCGTTTCCAAAATTGATGGTAACTTGACCTCTTCTCTCATTCTTTCGTTTGGAATGTGGTCTCTTTTAGTTCGGCCAGCTACTCTTCTTAGATATTTTTTTTTCAGCTACGGTCAGTCTGCTTTAATGTTCGTCTGGTAGAACCCAGCACTCACTACTGCACAATAAGGTTTTAAGATAGAGTGTGTTATATATATTTATTTTTGTTATATTTTCGACTTATCTTTTCCCCACAACCTTGTTATAGATTTTGTAGTAGATATTTGCTTTTTTAATTCGTTTGATATTTCTTGATCTATTCTACCATTTCTTCCAACAACTCTAAGGCCTTAGCTTTACAGTTTATTTGTATGTTTTCAGCTTCTCAACCCATCTGCATGATTTTACTTTTTTCCCAGTTAATGACCATCCCTTGCCTTTCAGGTTCAGCTTCCCAGTGAGGGTGGTGTTGAACTCGCCGTCAGTACTTCCTAGCCACCTTTCTGTACCAAATCATTAGAACCCATCGACCCTCCTATATTTTTCACAGCTTACAATTCAAATATTCCATCCAATCCCGTCCC